AGCAAGAGCACCCCCGCAGGTACTGGGCTGCTGGTGGGCATCGAGGTGCTGCCGACGTTGTTTGGAGGCAGTCTGTTCGGGCTGAGCACGGCACTGCGTCGAATGAGGTTTCGTGTAGTGTGTTTTACGATATGCTTAAGTACTACGAGACCATCGATCTTGCCAAGTTGATGTCCCAATGCCAGCGACACGGTTTCCCCTCCCCGATTGCGCGCCTTTGCATCTTTGCCTTTCGGTGTGGCCGTTTCCTGTCTCTGGGTGGCATCCTTGCGGGCCCCTTTTTTGTCGAGCGAGGTGTGGTGGCGGGCTGCAGCTTCGCCACCACCCTCATCAGGGTCTTTGCCCTTGACGCGTTCGACTCCATTCCCCTGTCCCCCAGATGTGATTTGGACATTTACATCGACGATTCGGGGATTTCTGCGACGGGCCCTCGTCACCGAGTTATTGCCTCTATTGTTGCCAGCTCGCAGGCCTTGCACACGGCAGTGACCGACATGCTTGGCTGCAGTTTCGCCCTGTCCAAAGTGTGCACGGTCTCCTCCAATAGGGCGGTGGCCAGTGAGGTTGGCAAGCAGCTTGGCAGTCTGGCAGGTAGGATCGAGGATGTCACAGTCAACTTAGGTGTGGACTACACGGCGGGCAAGTCCATTCGAGCCTCAGGTCGGGCTAGTAAGCTCAAGTCGAGGCTGGCTACCTTGTGCCGTCGAGCCAAGAGGCTCAAGAGGCTTTCGGGTGATCTTGGGAGAAAAACTCTGCGGGTTTTTTCCTCGGGCCCTCTTGCGGGAGGCTCCTACGGGGCTGACATTGTGGGTGTCTCTGACAATGATCTTTTATTGATGCGGAGGCAAGCCTTCTCGACGGTGCGGCCGTTTTCTCAGGGCAGGAGTCTCACTGCTTGCTGCATTTTAGCTGGCGATCCCACCTGGAGGGCGGCCTGCGCTCCTGTGCTTAGGTGGGGAAAAGAAATATGGCTTGCTCAGACTAAGGTCTTCCCGCACTCCCTGGCCCTCAAGGAGCTTAGAGATTCTTGGAATGCTGTCTGGGGCCTTAGCAGGATCAGTTGGGGTCTCGTTGGGGGTCCTGTCTCTGCCCTCAGGCTTTGTCTGGTCAGGTTAGGGTGGCACATGGACAATTTCATGACCATTATTGATGACAGAGGGTACCACATACCCCTCGGTGTGACCTCCCCTGCCCTCTTGTGTATTTTTTGTCGGGAAGGTATGATCAGAGCTCTGGAGAGGGATCTGGGCGGCAAATGGGCGTCTGGAGGCCGCCTCTGCTTGGATGTCCCCCGTGCTGCTCTGGCGTCTAGCAAGTTTTCTCCCAGCGAAAAAGGTATGATTCGTGCTCTGGCGTGTAACGCCATCTGGACTCCTGATCGTGCCATTGCCTGTGGATACAAAGTTTGTTCTAAGTGCATCCATTGTGGTGAGGCAGACTCGTTGCACCATCGGCTGTGGGCCTGCCCGCATGTGAGCGATCTGAGAGCGGAGCTTGCCAAGGACTGGATCATTGCTGCCGCCCGTGACACTGAGGCTGAGGACTACTCGGACCTCCTTTTCTGCTTCGGGGCTTTCGCCCATCCCGCCGATACCCTTCCGAGGCCGTGCCTCGAAGGCAATGTGGTGTTCCGCTGGCATCGTGATCTGCTCGAGGGCCCCGAAGGCTTCGAGGCTCCCCAGGAAGGTGCTGTCTGGGGGTCGCTGTTTCTCGACGGGTCTTGCAGGCGGCACATAATTCGGGAACTCAGCCGTGCGTCGTGGGCTATCACGATGCACAATGACAGCGGGGATCTTTTAGGGGAGGTTATGGGGCCTGTGTGGGCCCAATACCCTCAGACCCCGCAGGCTGGCGAATACTTAGCGCGTGGCATGGCTGGCAATATGGCCAAGTACCCTTCCACCCTGTTCTCTGACTGTTTGAATGTGGTCAAGCATTCTAAGTTGCCTCCTGGCGAGCGCCTCTCGGGTAAGAGGGTGTACAGTGGCATAATCATGGAAGCCAATGCTCGTGAAGGCACGTGCATTCAGGATATTGTTAAGGTTTCCGCTCACAAGGATTTAGATGAAGCTGGCATCGACCAGTTCGAAAGGTTTTGTCGCAAATGCAATAATGATGCGGACGCGGCGGCCAAAGCCGCGCTGTCGTTTCATGCGTCAGATATTAATGAGAGTGAAGATCTCAGCAAGAAGATCGACATTGCTAAAGCAGTGTGTCGACTAGGGGCCAAGCTTCTCTTAGAGTGGCCCCGATTGGATTTATCTGATGCCGATTATATTCCGCCAGCCCCCAAGCCCAGGTTTTCCTGGGACAAGCCTGGGCACGACTGGGCCCCTTGGTCCGGTGTGTGGCGCTGTAGAGTTTGTTTGTTGGGTTCCAGGGGATCTGGCGTCCCTGATCCTGGCATATGCTCTGGCAGGTGCAAGCTTGATGAAGGTGTGCTGGTGTCACTGCGGCATCGTGTTTTGGCCTTCTCCTGCAGTGACGGTTCACATCTTTTTGTTTGCGTGAAATGCCGCTACCACAGCACAGGTGCTCGTGTGGACGGCCTAGGGAAGGTGTGTAAGGATCGGCCCTCCAGGAACGCCGAGTATTCTTGGAGGCACCTCTGCCGAGGAGTGCACCCGAACCCCAGGAAGCGAGCTGTGACGGTGAATACTCACCAGATCTGTGCCCTGTTTGGTTCCCAGGCCGAGGAGGCTCCCTCGTGCCACAGGGCCGAGGAGGCCCCAGCTGGGAACCACATGGCGGAGGAGGAGGTGGCCCCCCCTTCCTCGGTCGAGCCTCCCCCCCCCTCGGAGGAGGAGGTCCGTCAGGCCTGTCAGGCCCGAGAGCGCAGCGTCTCCTCTCAGTCCCTCCGCCGTCTCCAAGCCGCTCGGAGTGGCGGTGAGGAAAGGAGGGACTTGGACGCTGACTCGGGTTCTTCTGACTAATTTTATCCTGCCACCCTTGTGGCTCACCTCCTTGCCTCAGTGGCACGGAGGACGCAGCAGCGATTTCCCAGCCGTCGCTGCTGACAGGAGAGGCTGTGCGGGCGTTGAGCTCAAACGCTCATATCAGGGTGTTGGGCATCGGGTATTAGGAATCGGGTGTTAGGGTGCTGCGGTTTAGGTTGCTACGCGTTATCGCGTTACGGTCAGGGTGTTAGGCGTAGGGCGTTATGGTTAGGGTGTGAGTGCTGGGGTGCTTCAGGAAAGGCGAGGATGGCTCTCAAAGGAAGGGAGGGGGCGGAGTGCTTTCATTTGGGCTACAAAGTGGTCGGGGCTCATCTGGGATGGTGGATCGGTGAGGGTGGAGGGGGGCGGGATTCGCGATGACGGGCCAGGGAAAGGGGGCAAGGAGTGGGGTCCCCCCCTCCTCCGGGTCCACCAGCGGTGCATCCTTCACAAAAGGTCGCCCACGCTCAAACACTAGCGCAAGCTTGCGCTCGTCTGGTTTTTGCCATGATTTCTTGAACGGGTTGCAGTCTCAGAGATCCGGGCTTTTCGAGGCAGGCACCCTTCGCTGGTGGCGGAGACACAAAGACGAGACACCAGTCAAATGTGACCATCTTTTCTGGGTTCTATGTTTGCATGATCCATCCAGTACGTGATGTTGGGTCTTGGTCTCGCACTGCGGCATGCTTTACAAGTTGTTTGTGTGTTGGTTTCCTGTCGTCACAGTCCTCTCTCTTGTGTGTGTGTGTGTGCAGATGAGAAGGCGTTCGGAAGATAGGTGTTGGATTTCCCAGCCTTCGTGTGGAGTTGGGTTCTCGTTTTGTTTTTGTTGCGCCGCGCCGTTTTTTCCTTTCCTCGTGGCTTTTGCGCTGCCCGGTGCTGCCCTGCAAACGGGTTCTGGCACCAACCTGCTGATTTCGACACGCCCCTCAAGGGGGACATTGCACCGCAGAGAATGTCATATGCGGCCCTAGTGGGGAACTCGCATATCGTCCTCGCGCCCATTTTGGCTCACCCCTCTTGCGGATTTTGCCTCCTAGGGGGCTCCACTACGGCCCTGGAGGGGAGCTCGCATAGTGTCGCCGCTTATTTCGGCACATTTCGGTCTTTACTGATCGTAGCTTGCAAAGGTCGCCCCGGCCACTTCGGCACAGATCACCTGTGGACCGCGCCCCATGTGGAGTCCGACCTATGGCCCCAGGTGGGGAGCGCGTCTCCGGTCGCCCTGCCGATGTCGGCACACCACTCGCACGGATCGTGCCCCACAGGGAGCTACTGTGTCGGCCAGGGGCACTCCTGCGGCACGGCCGCGCCAGGTTCGGGTTACCTTTTGCGCGGATCGCGCCTTATAGGGTATAGTCTTAGCAGTGGAGATCGAATCGCATCGCCGCGCGCGTTTAAACGCACCCTTCGCATGGATCGTGCCTCACAGGGAGATCCAGTTCCATCCATCCCGTGGCGCGCAGTATGTGGGGCGAGCCCCCTCCCCCCCTGCGCATTTCGCAGCTGCAAGTGGCCGGTCCTTCGCCAGATCAGATATTCTTGTCACAAGTCGCTTTGCCAGCAACGGAGATGAACATGGGTTTTCCGTCCTTGCTGGCCTTCGCCCTCAGGAGTTGGACACATATTGATATGTAGCCGAGCTTCCTGTTGTTCAGCTGGTTCAGGCTTATATGAGACTTCTGACGTGACATACGCTTCCGGTTCAGCATAGAGTAGACTTTCAAGCGATCCTTCTTTATTAGAAACGCCATGCGCGTTTCTAGATGAGTGGCCATCTCATTTTTGAGTCGCGCGTTCTAAGTAGTTACCGCATCGCCCATCGAGATGCCCCAGACGTGTTATCGACAATCGTCGGCCACTGTTAGTACATAACCCACGCACAATCGTTTTGCTCATGTTTTGCTGCCAGCGTGCGTGCATATTCGTGTATATCCAACCACTTGTTCACAGCAGCACGTAGTCCACGAAATAGTCATCATTAGGGAGGGTGGCGATCCGCGCTTGAGCAGAGGTAATGCTTTGAGGCAGTTGAAATCTTATGGAATGGCCCGTGCATGCCGCCTGGTCTGGCTCAAATGCCGCAGTGTTTTGTGCCAGTCTAACCGAACAGGCTTCCGCACAGAGAATTAAGCTCCATGGAGATTTTGTCAGACGACGAAGAAGGCGTCTCCTCGAGCCTTGCCGCTGCGCCCGCCACGACCTCGTCCGCAGCAACGCCTTGTCCAGTTGCGGCGACAGCGGCTGTCGACATACTCGAGGAAGGGGGACCGCGCTTTGTGCTGCCAGCAGCCTGCGAAGGGAGTGCATGCAGGGGGATAAGGACGAAGTGCACATGATCGGACTGTCCCGTCGGTGTCCTTAATATTCTAGTCCATTTTGGACCACCTGCTGAATTTTAAGGGACGTTGGAGCAAACAGTGGCTGCTCCTAATTGGCCTTCCAGTTCCTATTTGTTGCTGGTGCTCCATATGTCTACTGCAGACCAGGTCTGAGCAGACACTTGCAAGCTGGTTGAAAGGCTGAAGAGATTACGTCGTAGTTCTGCCTTGATTGCAGAGACAGCGAGTCCGCGATGCCTGCGTGGATGGCGCCACACTCGCTCGTGGTTTGGCGGCTTCCCGACCAAAGTTGTGATCGAAACGGATTCCATTATTTTTGTCCGCCGTTTTCTGTTCTGTGGTTCATGTGCAATTGGTGGATGGGAGGAAATAGAGTTGCATCAGAGTTCTTATCTTAGAAATATATTCATTACAGATCCATTCGTTTCAGACATGTTTTCACACATCGGAAATTCGGTATATATCTATATGTGTATATGTGTATATGTGCATGCATATTTATATATACACATATATATACATATATATGTGTGTATGAGTGCGTGCGTGCGTGCGTGCGTGCGTGCGTGCGTGCGTGCGTGTGTGTGTGTGTGTGTGTGTGTGTGTGTGTGTGTGTGTGTGTGTTGTGTGTGTGCGTTGCGTGCGGTGTAGAGTGTGTGTGTGTGTAGTATGGGTGTGTGTGTCAAGCGCGTGTTTGTGTGGTGTGAGTGTGTATTTGTGTTTGTTTGTGTTTGTTGTTTGAGTTTGAGTGCGTGTGTGTGTGTGTTTGTGTGTGTGTGGTGGGTGTTGTATGCGTGTGCGTGGGTGTGCGTGTGTTTGTGGTGTGTGTGTGTGTGTGTTGTGTGTGTGTGTGCGCGTGCGTGTGTCGGTAGTGTGTGTGTGTGTGTGCGCGTGTGTGTGTGTGTGTGTGTGTGTGTGTGTGTGTGTGTGCAATCCGTTGCGTGGTGCAATCTTTGGATTGCAGTCCATTTTGTGCAATTTGTGTGGTGCAATCTACGTGCTGTAATCTAGCTGGTGCAAAACAAGTGGTGCGAGCTACGTTGGGCAACATATGCGGTGTTTTCTCTGGAGCGCATGACAACGCTGCATTCCATGCGCTGTAACGTCCCCGGCGCCGCCTGCGTGATGCAAGCAAGGCGCTGCACTCTATGGGTTGCACTCAATCACTTGCTCAACTTGAAGCTGTCCTCTCCACTGCTCGCGCAAACATCCCACCCTCCCACCCGCAACTTGGTTTGCAAAACCTCTTAAGACCGACTATGACGACACCGACGACAACGACGACGACGACACCGACGACAACGACGACGACTTTGATGACGACAACGACGCCGACGCCGACGACGACGAAGACGACGACGACGACGCCAACGAAGGCGAGGACGAGGGAGGAGGAAGGACGACGACGGCGACAACGACGACAACGACGACAACGACGAGGGAGGAGGGAGGACGGCGATGACGCGAACGACGACGAAGGAGGAAGGACGGCGACGCCGACGACGTCAACGACGAGGGAGGAGGGAAGACGACGACGACAACGACGACGACGGCGACGAAATAGGAGGGACGACGATACGCCGACGACGGACGACGACTGACTACGAGGACGACGCCGACGAGAGGACGTTCGACCACGGCGACCACGACGACGGAAACGACCACGACGCCAAAGAGGACGACGACGACGAACACGAGAAAAGACAAAGGACGACGTAGGCGACGACGACGACGACGACGCGGGAGGAGGGAGGAGGGCGACGACGGCGACGACGACGCAAGAGCGCACGCGCACGCTTTTGTTGAAAATCCGTGTTGCGAAACCTTAGGTTTTTGTAGGTTTCTTGGACGCACGATTTTGAAATCCTTCCGAAACCGATGGGGTTTGAAGGTTTTCGGCATACGCGCGCGACGACGCGCACGTCTGCACTTCGTCCCGTTTTTT